ACTGTGTACAAAACTGGGCTTACCTGAAGCTGTGCAGTTATCTTCAGATTCTCCAGGGATACATGATGGAATCACAGTTGTACTGAGGACGACTTGCAGAAGGTGGAAACCTGTTTATGGAGGAGGAAAATTAAATATAAATAATTTTTTTGGGAAGGAAACCTTGATTGGATTTCCACATCGCTGCAACATTTGTAGTTGTTTTAATTATTTCAGTGACTAGACCCATCAAATAATTCATGGGAACAGGCATATGAAATTGAAAGGCACATGCATAAAAATAAATAAACCTTTTGTTCAAGGGTAATCATGTTCATAGTAAGACATCTGACCTGCTCTACACACTTCACAGTAACTTTTTCAAACCATGATTTTGAAGTTTGATTTCCTAAGAATCATAACATTGAACAGTTGTAGAATTTTCGTTTTTTTTACTCCATGCGGCATTCAGAGTAAAGTAACTTACACAAAAATGTTTTCAAAGAAAAACCAGGTTCTACTAATGATAGCATCCAAACAGGACTCTCAATCCAGTAAACATGCTCTATTGGTTTAAGTGTCTACATTACTCATTGCATTGCATTGCATTAAAAAATAGATCTTAATTAATAAATGCAGTCTAAGTAAGGTGTGATTATGCTCAGTGGAATAAATCAGAAAGGAAAATAAAACTATTCGATGGCTTCACTCATAAGTGGAATAAAAGGAAACTGAACAAAGGGTCAAAAAAAATATAAAAACTTGCAGGCCAAGTGTATTTCTGAGGCACATAGCAGGGGAGGAGGAGGGAGAGAAGTCAAAGCAGGGGAGGGAAGAGCCACAAGGGACTATGGTGATGGTCCACGGGTGATGAGGTAGGAAGGTTTATGGGGATTTATTCATTTATTGCATAAAATGCACACCAATATAAAATTAATTAATTAATTAAGAAAATAAGAACTCTCTAATTACAAGTCTATTTTTCTGAAAAGAGTTTAGTGTCCTCAGCAGCGTACTTCATTGATATGCCTATTCTGCTCCCCACTCTGTCTCTGGTGAATCCTCTCACTGCCCCTGCACCTCTGGCTTGTACCTTAGCTCTGTATACATAAATAAACAAGTTAAAAAAAAATTCCAGACAAGTTTAGTCTGGAATTCCATTTAGGTATTTTCACTTGGATCACTCTGTCCTGTCTAGATGATACACATGAATATAATGGGCATCATACTTTCTAACATGGGGGGTAAGTGTAAAGTGTAACTGAAGTACATAGTTAACCCCATTTGTGGAGTTAACAAGAAGAAATTCTGGAGGAAAATTTGAGCTATGTGATTTTGGATCTCAATTTTCCTTACCTTACAGAATTTTGGAGAGAATACTTAACTATAGCAATATGGCTTATGAGATGCCTAACAGACCAAAGACTCCTATATATGTTCCAGATGTTCAACAACTTTCTAGTTATAGCAGTAAATGTGGGTAGTGCCCTCTACTGGTCTATAAGAGTATAAGATTATACATTTCTTTGTAATTTGGTATATTTTAAAGGGCGATTTAGTCCGAATAGTAAAGGATTTTATTTTTTCTCAGTCAGAGGAAGCTTATTAGGTGATTTTCATACTCTTTGGATACTAAAACCTAAAATACAAGTTGGCATCATAGTTCATAATTTCTAGTTGCACACTTAACACAATAAACTATAAAGTAGTCTTGTTCAAGAATGTCTTCTGTAAGACCAATTATTTAGTGCTCATAGAAGAGTCAGGAATCTACCTTTTGACATCAAATCTCTCAATTTTTAAATGATTCGAAAACACTTTTTGAAAAGCTTGAATTATTTCCTTCCTACTCCATATCTTACAATATAGTTGTAATCATCTTGTAGGAAAAAAATCATGTTTCTTAAATGATATAAAGTGGTTAAAGTCTGAATATCACTGTCGGTTGAACTGAGATGCAAGAAGGTAACTGTCCACAGTGCTGTTTATGAAGGACTCCAAATTCTCATTTGAGCCAATTTTATTTTACATCTCAACATAATTTTGTCATGACTTCTCACTACTGAAGAACTGAACACTTTAACTCGCACAATCTACTCAACACAAACTGAAGTTTTAGATGTGTTTTTAATCCTTGAGCCTCCCATTATGCCATGTTTCCTCAGCTGAGGAAAGCAGGGGCGGCGACATTACTAATTCCTCTACGATGAAAAGGCCAGGCACATCCATCATGCAAACACACTTCTGAAGCTCCTTTCTCTAGCCTTTGTGCAAATCAGAGATGATCCTTTCCTGTTTGAACTGCTTACAAACTGCAACCTGCGACTAACATAGAATAAAGCTACTTGTTTCGGTATGCTCCTTGTTCAGTTTTTTTTTTTTTTTTTTTAATGTAGTTGTTAGTTTTTCCATTGTTACAAACTCTGTTCCAGTTGGTCAAGCCACAGGTGAAATAGTTTTCTTTGTGAATTAAAGAATGTCAGTGCTGGGCGTGCCTCCACAAAAACTGGGCTCTTCTGATTTGTGACGCTCCCTTGGACATAGTCCATCGTTAAGGATAGTTTCAGTTGAGACTGCCTACATTAATCGAACATCCAGATAGTTTACAGCTGAAGCGGCAAAGAACTTTAAATGTATTTTTCTCAAGTGAAAGTGTGCATGGATAGATGTGGCTAATGGGACAGCAAAATTGGTTCTCAATCACGTGTCCATCTGCACAGTTCTATTGCTTTAAAACGTGGCCCTCAAGATTCCTGAAACTTCCTTACACTCCAGATCCTTGCAAACTAGTGTCAAGGAATACGTGGAGATGATCAATGGACTGAAAAGCACCACTCAAGGAAAATTCTAAGATCTTCCAAGTGTTGCCCTTAAGAATCACTACTAGGTCCTCCCTGGTGGCGCAAGGGGTTAGGACGCAACACTGCAAACTGGCCACAGCCACTTCAGTGCGATTTCGATCCCCAGCCCGGAGGTGACCCACATGGCAGGCAGACCTCTCCTGACCCACCTGCTGCTCCCCTCAGCAGTGTACTTGGTTGATCTACCTGTCCTGCTCCCCACTCTGTCTCTGGTGCAGCCTCTCACTGCCCCTGAATTTATGGCTTGTACCCCAGTTCTGTATGAAAAAAAAAAAAAAAAGATTAAAAAGCAATCACTACTCATTTTAAAGTTATATAAGGAAGTTGTCTATTTCATGAATTTTTCAGACTTTCGAGGTTCTGGTGTTATTTGAACATGATTAAATTACAAATACAGTTTTTGATGCTTGACCACGAGTGTCTGCTAAGAAATAATTCAACATAAGAGTCAAGACTGTGATTGTGTTAGTGTGTCAGAAAACAGCTGTGGGTGGCAAGCTCTAATTGGTAACTAAGGCACAGAGGAATTCTGCATCAGGTAAAATAGGGTAGATAGTAAACTCAAAATTGATTGTTGGATTTCTAGTTCAGTAATGCTATGAAAATCAAAATCCCTATAGAGGTAATATTTTGTTGAATTCCAAGTGGTTTTAGAAATCTGAAACTCACCTATTCACCTCTCTACCTTTACCTTTCAAAGATTGTGTTTCAGTGAAATCTCAAATGCAGCAGCAGGAAGTGGTGCCAATGACTCACAGGATACAAATCACCTCTACTCTGTGAGTCAGGGCCAGCCTACACCCTTACACAATATTGGGGACCTCGCGTGGGAGAGGTTGAGTGCTATCATGCAGATGGGGGTAGCACTAAATATCATGGGTCTTGGGGCCATAGAAGTGCTTGCCCAACAGTTAGGAGGAATGCCAGATGGAGAAATTGTCCTCATTGCACATGGGTTTTTTTGACTTTGCTGTCTTACAGCTACACTGAGGGGCTCACCCAGGAGACTGGCACTAGGTGATTGCTTGACTAAGTCAATTCCACATCTAGTATATTCTTAGGGATTAAGGGGCTCTCCCGAAAAACAATCAAGCAAACAAAATGACACCCATAAAATTAGATAGGTTCAAGAAAAGAAAGAAATACACCTTATTTTCCAAATCTAACCTTTTATAATATGTACAGCAGAACAGCAAACTCATAATGAATCATCACATTTGCTTAGCCCTAACAGGTAGCAAAATCCGCTTTGTTCACACTTTTGCTGTGGCCACATAACTACATACTCATGAACTGTTAGTTTTTCACCTTCTCCCATGGCAGTCTGTAATTTTAGGATTTGCCTGTAACATAGTAGGCTTGTTAGGTCTTGTATGCTTTGAAGGAGTGAATACACTTTCACTACTTTCAGATATCTTTTTATTTAAGTGAAATTCCACTAGTAGATAAGGTCTTTCTTCTCACTGGGTAAAATAACTGTAAATTATTTATCACATCAGATACCCAAAATGTTACTGTCAGTACTTTTTACTAAGTCTATGTTTCAAAGGGTAAAATATATTTAGAGAATAAACTTTGCCTTCAGTAGTCATTTTCAGTGTTAACTGTATAACTAAGCTTCAGTAAAACCTAAATCTAAACACCAACTATCTCTATTTGATATAAAACAGAGACTAATATAATAATGGGCTGCAGATAAGTGTTCCTTGTAATTTTGAGTTTTAAAAAATACCCAGAGGGACTCCCCATCAAGTGACAAGAAAAGTTTCAGTGTTTAAAGATAAGCATTTTAATAGTTCTAAGATGTTTAAAAACAATATGAGGGTTCAGTTCATAGGTATTACATTATACACTTTAATGTTGATAGCAATTTCTAAATCATCATTCAAGATTTCATCTATTTTAGTCATCATATAATTGTTATACATAACATTCTTCAAATCAAGAATTAGTGAGTCAAAAATACAAGGGTATTTTGACTAAAATACCTAAAAATGACAGTGGGTGGCAAGCCAGGTAAAATGGGGTAGATCTTCACATGGAAATGTTCTCAGAATACAGAAGGGCACATATCAACTCAGTATAAATAAAAATATACAATTTACATTAAACTGGGTATTGGGATTTGTGACCAAGACCTCTGAATCTGGGACTTGCATTCCCTAAAAGCCAAAGATACATCATTAGTGTACTATTTTAAATGTTCTAGTGAATTTTTTTTCTCCAAGATAATGTTTGTTTCATCCATTTACTCCTGTTGAGCCAATCCAGAAACGCAAATTACTACTGTGCTATTGTTTCAAAAGAAAAATATTCTAGAGGAGGAAAAGTGGATTTTAAGTGTTTGCTGATTGCTTTCTTTTCATTATAATGATGTAGCCTGCAGCTCTGAATACTTTCCAGCATTTTGAAGTCTGTTGACTGTCATGTATTCTTTATAGAAGCCTATTGCCAAAAATGAATTTGCAATAAGACAGTTTTAATCCATTATTACTAAAAACAAGTAGAAATGAGTATCTAAAAGGAATTTTCAAAGTCTCAAAGCTAGTTACTTTTCACACAAAGAACCCATGTAATGCACCTCGCACATTAGAAGTTGCTAAGGCATTTTATTTTGTATAAATGTGTTTTTTAGTTAACACTATTCAAATTCAGTAGGAAGCACATAAGTTGGGAGATTCAGATTCACTTCTACTTGATGAATGGGAAAGGAGTGCCACTTTTCTATGCTTACTGTTTGTAACTACTTCTCTTAAATTAGATGTGTTCACAATTGAATATTACTCAGCAATCAAAAGAAATAAACACATGCTTTTTGCAGCAACATGGATGGAGCTGGAAGGGATCATGCTTAGTGAAGTAAGCCAGAAAGAAAAGGAAAAATGCCAGATGGTTTCACTCATAGCAGGAGTGTAAAGGACCAGAGGAGAATAATAATAATAATAATAATGAACAACTATATACCAGAGACAGTTTATGGGGTGGAGTGGGGAATGTGTTCAAAGACGGCAGGGGGAGGTAAGTGCACTGGACTATGGTGATGGCACACGGGTGATTTGGTGATGCGAAGCCCAAGGGAATTGCAACTGAGATGGAAAAATGCACAAACATATGTAAAAATAAACTATTATAAAATTTTAAAAAAGGAAAAAAAATTAGATGTGTTCAATAAATACCTTATGAGCTGTTTCTAGACACAATGTATTGAGTAAGATGCTGAAAACAAAGTTAATGTAAAAGACCTGTTCCTGTCCTAAGTAGGGTTAATGGGACTTCACACTTGGGGAGTGGAGTGGAAAGGAGAAAATTCATAAGTGATGTTAAGTATCTACCAGAAAACGCCAAGTTTAGAAGTGCCACTGAAGAGTAGAATCACAACAGGACACTTTGTGGTGGCATCAGCAGCTAATAGACATGAAGGGAGGGGTGGTGAATGAAAGAATTTGAATGTGTGGTTCACATATTGTCATACTTATGAGCTAATTGGAAATATCAACATTGAGTTAAAAGTAAAAATAGTTACTGGAGTCTATTTGAAAGAAAAATGAGGAAATAAGACCTATTAAAACAGAGTACTGTGGACCCTACCCTCCCTGGTGGCTCAGCGGGGTAAAGCACAGCACTAAGCAGCTAAAGCCACTTCAGCATGAGTTCGATCCCTGCCCCAGAGGTCACCCACGTGGTGTGGCAGACCTCTCCTGACCCACCCGCTGCTCCCCTCAGCAGTGTACTGCATCAGTCATCCTGTTCTGCTCCCCACTCTGTCTCTGGTGAATCCTCTCACTGCCCCTGCACCTCTGGCCTGTAACCCCAGTACTGTATGCATAAATTAATAATATCTTTAAAAAGAAAAAAAAGAACTGTTTCAAAACATTCAAATGTGTCAAAAGAAATATTATGGAATGGAAAACAATAGAACTTTACAAATATGTGGTAAAGAGTAGGTAGAAGTAGCCACAGAAACTGGAGGAAAAAGGAAGCAAGAGAGCAGAGTTATTTAAGGAGGCACAGGTGATCCGCAACGTAAAGATTGAAAGAATTATGAATGACTCCATCATAGATAAGATTCATCATTATTCCAGAAAAATGGTGCTAAAATCAATAAAAATGAGTAACTGATTTTTTTAGCATTGAATTGATTTGATATTTGCATCCAGCTTACCATTAATAATATGTATCTTGGGTAACTTAAGTTCTGATTGCTCTGTGAATTCCGAGTGGCAATAGCAATAGCAAATACGTTAGATTAATGGTTCTCAACTAGGAGTGACTTCGGCAAATAGTGGTATTTGGTCATGTCTGGAGACATTTTGGGTTTTCACAGTGGGGGTTGATGCTATTGACATCTAGTGAGTAGAAATCAGGATTGCTGCTTAACAGTGCAATACATAGGATAGCCCACTACCAAGAACTATTGAGTCCATACCAGCGATAGATCCTCAGCACACACACATGAGTAATCAAGTCCAGTTCCAGCTCGGATACTAATTTTACACCCCTGCAGCTGAATTTCCTTATCTCTGAAACAGAAACCTAGGAATGGGGTGGATAGAGGGGGAGATGGAATTTAGATTAGATTACTCTAAAATTCTTTTCATTTCTAAAACAATACTTCCCTTTTACTAACTGACAATCCATCATTCAGTCCTATCATTATTTAGTTTCTCCCCCTTTCTCTCTTTCTTGCTCAGTCACACACACATACTGCAGCAGAGCAGCTACTTAAAATATTGTTAGGCATATGATCAATGGATAAATACTACATTAAGAAATAGAAATGAGAAACACAGAATAACTATTAGACTTTATCAAAAACAACAAAATTGAGTTTTCAGGAACTATCCCTTAATCTCAAACATAGTGCTTCTTGATCACATTTTCAAAGAGCAGTTAGTGGAGTCAAAACAGTGAGGTGAGACTGCTGAATTAAGAACATTCATATCTGTCATCCAACAGACACTTAACTGAATGTTTAAGTCCATCACACTGTGGGTGATAAAAGGTAAGTACAGAACCAATAAGGAGAGAGGGGTCTGGATACACACAGAGTGAGCAAAAAGGCGGGGGTAGAGAAATACACAGGTATAGTGAGGTGCAGGGGGTGGGTAAGGTGCATATTTACTTTTGATGGTGGGAAAAGGTGAAAGCACTTATCAGAGAAGGCCTACTACTCTTCTTCAGTCTAAAAGTCTAATGTTCACTGAAAGTGAAGAGTGAGTTGGGCCACCACAGCAGATGGTACAGCAGATTCACCCATGGAGCCCTACATGCTAGGTACCTCTGGTTATTCTGAAGATCAAATGAAACATTTTTCTAAGACAGCACTTGATGGCGATAGTGATAACAAGTCTAATTTTAAGACTGCTTATATATTCTGCTATATGTATTATTATATACAATAATCTGACAATACAGATATGAGTTCCATTTTACAGATGAAAAACTAAAGTTCAAAGAGGAATAAATATTTCTAAATTATGAAATAAGATACTGGGCTGTGAAACCTGTATCCTATACACTATAAAGTTTGACATATATAGATGTGTGTGTAACAGAAGAAGCTCTTCCCCTTACCCTGATGGATTTTCAAAAGACCTTGTATTTAACTCACTTTCATATCTCCATGTTAAAGATCACATTTTGTTTTTTTAAAAAGATTTATTTATGCATACAGAACTGGGGTAGGACAGAGGTGCAAGGGCACTGAGAGGATCCCCAGAGACAGAGTGTGGAGCAGAACAGGCAAGGTGATGAAGTACACTTCTGAGGGGAGCAGCGGGGAGACAGGAGGGGTCTGCTGAGCCATGTGGGTTACCTCCCTGGTCCAGGATCAAACTCTCGCTAAGACGGCTTCGGCTAGCTTCGTAGTGCTGTATTTTATCCATTGCACCACCAGGGAGAGCCCTAAAAATTCACGTTTTTGATCTAAGATATGAAGGGTTAATATTTTCTGAACAATTACTAAGTCACGATGTGAATTAAATCATTAATTTAACCTAGAATGTCACAGACCTTTATTTGCCCTGTAACTAGACACACAACCTTACATAAATGGCATCGCCAGAGGACACTGAGTCTGTTGCATTACTTCATTTTTTCAGAGCTTCCAGAACTGCCATACCAAGGTGACGGCTGTTAGGGTGCTCCTCCTTGAGGATAGCTCCTATTACAGCATGGAGGATCCTTCCCATTGTCTTCCAGTGGAATGTGTCCCAGCAGTTACAGTCATACTAATTAGACAGTTTGCATAGACCTATATTCAGTATGAGGACTGATGGAGGAAGAAACCACACCTTCATTGACAGTCTCTTAGAAGAGGATTTCTTACATGATATTTACATTTCTTGAGTGACCATTCACCAGGAAATGGGAAATTCTTCAGCAAGAATAAGCAAGATATTCAAATTCAATTTTTTTCAAATTAATTATGTGAGTATAACACTGTCATAAACCCAGGCAATGTGTTTACTTTCTCACTGCTAATAGAACGTGCTATGAATTTCATCTTGATCATTTATCGATAGTATATTCAATTCACAGTAATATAAAAGAATATTGGGAATACAACAATATCCACCTTCTCCTTGATTGTGCGATTTCATATACATGTAGGAAATATAAAGGCTTGAGTCAGCTACTATCAATGAGTGCTTTATAAAAAAATAATTTTCTGGAAAATGTGTAGATTTGAAGTGCTGTAGTTAGGCTAAGAAAAATATTCAACATAGTTTAACACAGCAGAAGTCTGTGCCTGATTTTGTGTGACACCATCTAAATATGATTTTTGTTACACCAACCTGTCCCTATAAAGATTCTAACTATGGGGTAGATGCCCCTAGACAACTACTACAGAACTATCTTGATTTTGCTTCTGATAACCCAAAGGCTCTCTGACTTCTTATAATTCCATAAATAACCTGGTAGGTATTTGAATGTGAAGAGTCTTAATGTCATCATTTGTCAAACTAGACTAATCAAACCTATCTCTTTCAGTTAATTTGAAGAGTAAAAATATGATAGTACATGTAAAGTACTAGGAAACAATGTGGTTGACTCACAGAGGGCATCTGGTAATTGTTGATCTCCTCAGGCCTTATATTTGGAGCCCAATCCCCACTCCTGAACCACACATCGCATTTGGCCAAGGTGTTCATATGGCAAGAGGATGTGGAAGGTAAAGGGAGTGGGTCCACACAGAGAGACCTGTCATCATGTTTTCTGCTTATGACGTGTCATTTCAGGTTGTGCTAACACCCGGGCAGCTTATAAATTCTCAGAGTCAAGAGAAAATCTCTGAGGCAAGCTGGTGTCTGTCTCATGGAGAGCTGTGCTCCTCTTATTTTCAAGAAATAATGCTCCTTTTCCTTAATTCTCTGTCACTCTGCAATGAAATAGGAATAAATTGTCTTGAGGAATCTCACCAGCAAACATGCTCTGATGTTCATTTGGGTATCAAAATGTTTATCTTTTAGATTCAAGCAGTAGTAAAATTTCCTTTTTTTGCTGTGAACAACACAAGAACTTGAAAGGATAATTCAGCTCTACAATTATATATTATTTACAAATGTGTTATCTGGTTTGGGGCAGCTCAACCTAACGTTCAGTTAGCTAAAAGTGCTAGCAACTGGGTCTGAATTTTCTCAGCTTAGCCTTGTTTTCTATGGAAACGTTTGTCATGGTTTCCCAATATATAAACCCAGAACCTCAATATCAAATATGTCTAAAATTTAAAATAACTGAATGATTGTGTGAACATGTAACAACTTAAATCTACATGTGTTGGAGGCTAAGGATGCAATTGAAGTCATCTACATTTTTTTAAGTCATAAAAAATAAAATCTACAAAAAAGGAAATAATGAATTTTTGGCTAAAATCTAAAATAAATGTTTCCTTCTTTTGAAAGACGTGAAAAACATTTCTAGATAATCTTTTGTTTGGGGGTGGAGAAAGGCAATTTCAAAAATAACAGGTGGCCTTGTCTTTTCCCCCTTGCTTTCAAATGAGTCTGTTGGACTTGCATACCTGAATAGAGTATAGAGATATCAGATAGAAATTCAAACAGGAACTTTCCTAGTGGCAGAGAAATATCTAAACAAACTGGGAAAACAGAAACTGACCTAGCTCATTTGGAAATGGGCTTGGCGGCTGATGAAATAGGTGAACTATAATTAAGTAATGCAATAAAGGAGTTAAGCACTTTCATGACAACAAAAACACACACAACACACACACTAAGTGGGTAGAAACCAGGTTATTCATAGGCTATTGCTGTCTCAAATTAGAATATTCAATGAGTGGCCTGAACAGACACTTGCATTGTTCACATGTAACCTGATGGCAAATAAAAAAAGCCTGGAGCCATTCTGACCTCAGGGTTAATTTCTAACTCTAGGAAGACTGTCACCTTTCTAATTTCATTCTTTCTGGACATCAAAACAAAGATAGCAGAGCCACATTATTTACTGATAATCTTTTAACAAGTCATTCTTAGCAGTTTTAATAGAAGCCACAGATCCAATTTACACCTATGTTCCTGAACTTGGAGAAGTAAATTCCAGCTATGCATAGTATGCATTGCATTAAGTCTCCCAACCCTGAGATAAAGGGTGTAGAAATCGTAATTTAACTGTCACATCCTGCACAGGTAGAGTTCATTTGTTAAGGGGAATTCTTCTCTTTGCAACTCCAGAGTGTGAGACATGCAACCTTTGTTTCCTTATTAAAATTTTCTTGTAAGCTCCAAATTCCTCTTGAGTTGAAAGACTTGTGAAGTGATGATTTTTCAAGCCAGGAGGGTTACATAAGGATTTCAAACCTCCCCCTACTCCCCACCACCACCACCACCTCGCCCACCTCAAGAGCTAAATAATCTCAACTAGGAAAAAAAGGTTAACATAGAGTCAAAGATTGCCGGCTACATCAGCATTACAGGCAAGGCTGGTACATGCACCTGCAAGTGTTCCTCTCCTGGCCCCCAACCCCTCCCTAGGCCTAACCAGACCACAGAAGGATATTTTGCGCTCAGTCTAGTTTTTACTCCATCTCCTAGACCCCCCTCGACCCCCACAGCCGCCAAAAATAGAACTAAACTTGAAGTGTCGGCCTTGGACTTCTAGAACTGGAGGGGGGGGAGGGGGGGAAGCACTATTCAAAAAAGAAAACGGAAGTTTTTCATTTTTTTACTGGTTATTTTGCCGAATACGGAGCGCTATTAATTTTTGCACGACATATAACACAACAGTTAATTCATCAATGAAGGCATTTTAATAGCAATCCCTCTCCCAGCCCCCCACCTCACCCCACTCCATCCCCGCCTGGAAGAAAAGACGGACTCGCATAACTGGAGACAACATTTTAATTAGAGTACACTTTAACCTAGTGGAAAAGTCCCTACTTGTTCAACAACAAACGCACACCCTTGGCGGTAGTGTCGGGGGCGGTGGCGGAGCAGAGCGGCGGAGGCGACTTACCCAGATACAGCAGCAGCGCGGGGACCCCGCCGGCGCGACGCGGCTCCATCCTCCCCGAAGAGCCTGGGACGCTGCGCGGGCGCTCAGGCTGCGCGGCGAGCGGAAGGCGGCGGGCGGACCGCGGAGAACCGGCGCGGCTACGGGGTGCGGCTGGGGCGCGGTGGAGCGCGGTGGAGAGTCTGCACCGGCCAAGCGTAGGCTGCGTCCGGCTGACACCCGGCCGGTCAGGCAAGTGAGCTCAACTGCCCGGCGCTGCGACCTTTATAAGGCACTAGCTCGGTGAGGTTCGAAGTGCCCAAAATTTCATAATAGGCCCCGGGGGAGGAGTGGCTGGAGGATTGTCCGGATGTCATCCTCCCTCTTTGAACACCTGAGAGTGGTTGAGGAATGAAATAATGTCCTTCTAGTGTCTCGGGGACTACTCCCCAAACTTTTCCATCTCCCTCTTGACTCCTGCGGGAGGAAGTGCAAGAGCTGGAACAGATGGCTGGTTTGCTTTGTGGGGTCACTTGGGATCGTGGGTGGTTTTAGGTGCTCTGGTGACAGGCCTAACTTGAATCACAGTCAATCTGTCAGCCAGGTCTACATGCTTTTGGAGGGGTGTGTGAGTGTGAGTATAAGTGTGTGTGTGTGTGCGTGTGTGAGTGAGTGAGAGAGCTCACTCAGCGTCCAATTCATGTCCACTTCCAGCCATAGATGCCTTTTATGTCTACAGGTTCTACTCAGTCTCTGCTTCAAAGTCTACTAATCATGAAGAAAATTCCCCATTTGCTTCTTCTTCGCTCTGATATCAATCATCCTGGTTCCTTTGATTTAATTTCCCTAAACTTTGCCTTAACCTGTCACTTCCCTCTCTAACATCTTGAAGCAACTTCCCCATGCCTTTCAGCAAGTCTTGACTCCGGTGAGAAGGAACCCTCTCTATTCCACTTCTGGGCTCACTAGTCACCTGACAAATTGTCTCACTCCAGCTAGGCTGGAAAACTATTCTTATTGCTTATTCTCATCTTCTTACTTGAATTGATGCAGTTACAGTGAGAAAAATGGCTGCCATTTACTGAAATTAATCAAATCCTATTCATTTTCATGGTTCTACTTGAGGGCCTAGTTCTCTGAGCCTTAAGAAATGTCTTTACTTTGTGATGTTTTGTATGGTTTATATTTTTCATTGACTCAGAATTTTGGATCTGGAACTTCTTACTTAATGCAAGTATTTTGTATTATTTAGTTTTTCTTATTTGTTAGTCATAAATGTGCTCAGATCTGTAAAATACATCAATCCTCTTATTTTTTTATTCTACTCTCTTGTAGATCCCAAGAACAATGACAGTAATAAAAGCATATTAGACCTGAAAATGAAATCTGATGTATTTCTAGTTTGTATTAGACTTTTTATTTTCTTAAGAAAATGTCTATTTTTATTTCCTTATGATTATTTTGCTTTTAATTATATTCTTATGACTCTTTATCTTTTGTCTTCTTTCACTCTCACTCCAAGTGTTGTCCCTTAATATCCAGAACTCTTCTGTTGCAAAGAAATACTTATCCTTCTTTTCATGGTTAAGATTGAGGCCATCTGCAATTGAATCCTTGGACAAGTTATTTAATCTCTACCAGTTTCTTCGTATGTAAAATAGGGCTAATAATAGTCCCTTACTTGTAGGAAGATAATGAAAGTGCTTACCACAGTGCTGAACACATTAGCACTCATTAAAAATAG